CATACCCCCTACAGGGAAGACGGTGAGAGAACCAAGCACTGTAACTCCTGATGTTACAGACCCTCTCTGGGACTTAATGCTAGCAGCCTATCAAACACTTAACTGTACTGGCCCTAACCTGACTCAAACTTGTTGGCTATGATACAATGCAAAAACCTCCGTTTTATGAAGCAATAGGCATTAACACCTCTTTCAGCTATTCTCATGACCTGAACCCAGAGAATTGCTCTTGGAAAGACCGTAAAGTAGGAATTACTATACAGTGTGTAACAGGGAAGGGCTTATGCATGGGGAAGCCTCCCAACGCCCAAGAGCATTGCACCTCTTACATTAAAATAGACCTGTCCTTTAATTGGATTATTCCCAGGGAAGGGGGTTGGTGGCTTTGCTCGAAAGCTGGACTTTTACCCTGTTTAAACTTGAAAGTACTCAATCTGTCCTCAGATCATTGTGTGCTAGTGACTGTCCTGCCCCGAATTCTTTACCACCCAGAAGAAGAGATGTATGTGCAATGGGGCGGAACCAATAGAGAAAGAAGGGAACCACTCACTATAGCTCTTACTCTAGCTACTCTGGTTGGCTTGACAGGGACTGGTCTAGGAATAGCTTCTTTAACAGTACAGAATCAAGGCATGCATTCACTGAGGGCAGCTATAGATGAAGACCTTGAAAGAACAGAAGACTCTATCTCAAACTTAGAGAAATCCCTAACCTTGCTGTCGGAGGTTGTGTTGCAAAACCACCGAGGGTTAGATCTCTTACTTCTCCAAAAAGGGGGGCTGTGCGCAGCGCTGAAAGAAGAATGCTGCTTCTATGCCGACCACATGGGAGTGGTCCAGGAGTCCGTGGCCAAGGTACGAGAAGGACTTGCCCTAAGAAAATGGGAACGTGAAGCTCAGGAAGGATGGTTATAGTCTTGGTTTAATAGCTCCCCGTGGTTAACTACTTTAATATCTACTCTCTTAGGGCCCTTCATAGTCCTTATAATCATATTAACTTTTGGTCCCTGCATTATAAATAAGCTTATATCTTTTGTGAAGGATTGGGTTAATACTGTACAACTTATGGTTCTGAGGCAGCAATATCAGCCTTTATCTCCTGTAATACAACAGGATGATTCCTCGTGTATATAACAAGAAAAGGGGGAAATGTGAGTCAATCTGAAGCCAGAGTTCTAGTAGCCTCCAGGAAAATCTTTAACCAGAAACCTTCTAGTGTCAGCAATACTAACAGGACTTTTGGAATTCTAAACACTCCTTAGGGCCTTTATCTGCCCTCCAGTCTCAGCAGGTATCAAGGAACTTCCTCCGAACTCAGCACGCATCACAAAAGCCATCCGGATTGAGCACGTATCAGAGATTTGCTCGGCTCCTGAAAGTCTTCCACATACCTGAGCCTTGCATCCTCCCTAGATAATATTTTCCTAAATGGACTTTGAAGCCGGGGGGTTTCTTTACGTCCCCCAACATCTTAGATCACTGCCCTAAATTCCTTAGCAACAACCAATCATCTGTATCCTCTTGCCCTGGTGCTGTTCCACCCCATAATTTTCCATAAATTTGTGAAAATACTGGGGCACAGGGTCTTTTGCTCAAGCCACCGATCTGGTAAGGGCAAAGACCCTAACTTAAGTTAGCTAATAAACTTTCCTATTGCGTTTGCATTGTCGTGTGTTGGCATATTTCTCCCCGAGCAACTCCTTCATAACCTGGGCACAACAGTGTGTATTAGAGACTTTCTATTTACACATAACTATACATTGCTGTCAGTTTGAAGACATTTATTTCACCTTAAATAGGTAAATTGTACACTATTTGTATTATGATGATTTAAATACGTGCAAGAAGATGGCTTTTGATATAATCAATGGAAAGAATGTTGACAAGTTTGTAGTAGGAACAAGAGTATACTTTACAATATTAGGAAAAAGCATAAAAGGAAACAAATTGTAAGTTCACATTTATGGAAATAGAGGGTAGAAACTGTTTTCTAAATAACTGAATGTAATCTGTTTTTAACAAAGTTCAATTGTTTTAGAAATGTACATCAACCTACATAATGTCTTCTTGTGACATTAAATGATACTCAAAAAACCACTGCCATCAAGTCAATTCCAATTCACAAGGACTCTATAGGACAGAGTAGAACTGCCCATTAAGATTTCCAAGGCTGTAAATCTTTATGGAAGCAGACTGACTCATCTTTCTCCCACAGCGCAGCTGGTGGCAGCTTCCAATTACTAACCTTTTCATTAACAGTTGAATGCTTTAACCACTATGCCATCAGAGTCCCTTATATTAGTAGATAAGGTTGCTGTTTGTATAATAGATGGTTACTTATGTGCTACAGATAAGGAAGCTCTTTACATTTAAATGTAAGTAAAAACACGTGCAAGACATTCTGAATCTTATTTTAACAAAAGATTTTGTATATGAATATATACTGATTAATCTATTTTTTGCCAATTTTTCTATATATAACTTTTTAAAAATTTAATGATAAATGAAGGATTAATATTAGCATGTTTTATGACTTCTTTAGTTTTAGGTATTATTTTATAAATTATTATTTTTGGAATTGAACATTTCTAACCATGCTAAAGGGAGAATTTTAGGGACAGAACCAATGCCGAATATTTTTAAACAAAATGATCCAATTTTTTATTGTCCTTTCAATGAATTGGTGATACTTCAGTAAAAGATAATTTGTGATCCTCCATAGATTTTGAAAGATTAAAAATACATTACAGAATTTCACATATAAAGATAATCTCAAAATAAGGCTACTTGAAAGAATTTTCTGTTTCTCTAGTATATTTAAATGCATACATCTTATAAAGTATCCAATTATATTGTATGAATACCTGGAAAAAAAAATCCAAGACTCCAGTCTGGTTACCAAGAGAATATGCTGTTTCCATGGTAACTCCCTCTTGTACACATTCTGTTTGCTCTTGTAGAAAAAGCACTTCATTGATATAGTGGTGTATCTTCTCATTGGTCATGTTGACACAAAGCTATTGTGGGGAAAAAAAGAAAACAATTTACAAGATAATCCAGCAGTGAAGATCTACTCATTCTATGACAGTTTCAGATTGGTAAAATATTGACTCAGGAATCAAAATCAAATCGTCTATCAGGATAAAGTGTTTTTGTATTGCCTGCTAAGTCAAAGTAAAGAGTTTCATTTCACATTGTTTGATGTTTCTGGCTGTGCATTTTTAAGTAGCCAATGCTAAAAACAACAAAACGTAAAATTACAGCATTACCTTTGAAATACTTGATTCTAGAAGATATTTGAGCATTTGAAAATATTTCTAATAGGAGATTATATTCCCCACTCTAGTGAGCAAATGAAGATCAAAGCTACATTTACCAGGAGATTCCAAGGAAAAGAAAGCCTTTCTTGTTTTCCTTATTTCTGATCATATCTTGATGAGAAGAAGAGTAAATATGTGGTTTCTTATGGGAAGAATAACTGTCTAAAAATTTTACTGCAGAAATGATTTATTTTATCATATAATTTTCTAAATTCTTCCAATCATCTATTTTTCTCTCCCCACAGTAATTCCCGTAAGGAAGTGTTTTTGTTGTTTGGTGCTGTTGAGTCAGGTCCGACTCATAGTGACTCTATGTACAGCAAAACAGAAGTATAAAGAAATAGATATGTTATTTCTTAATCTTAAAATCTGAATTCCTTACTCTTAGAAAATAAAATAAAATAACTTTATCTTAAAATCTTAAAATTTTAAATAAAATCCTCAAATCTAGCCAAACTAAAATCTCTGCTGACCTTACTTTCTCCTGTAGCAACTCCTCCATTTATCTTTTTATTTTCATATAAAAAGCCTCACAAAAGTTGTCTCTACTTATTATCTCAACTTTCTCTTCTTTCATTATCTCCTGAAACCATTCGAAGTAACTCTTGTTCCCACTCTTCCATCAGAATTTACTCCATGGAAGTCACCAGTGATTTGTTCATATCTAAATCCAACATTCATTTTTTTTCTTGACTTCCCACTGACATCTGACAGAGTTGAATCCTCTGACATCCTTGGAAACGTTCCTCACTTGTCTTTAGGGACACCACACTCTCTTGGCTTTCCTCATATCTCACTGATCACTCTTTCTCGATCTCCTTTTGTTTGTTTGTTTTTTACTTTTTTATTGTGAAAACTTACAGAGCAAATCGATTTTCCATTCAACAACTCATACATATACTTTTTGGTGACATTGATTATGATCCTTACAATGTAAAAGCTCTCTTCCCACTTCCTTCCTGTATTTCCTATTTCTATTGTCTTTCTTACCCCTTCTGCCTTCTGAGCTTTATCTCTGGGCATATACTGCCCTTTTGATCTCCTATGGTTGATTGTTCTAAGTGTATACCTTCCTAATGTTCTTATTCACCTTCTAGGCCAGTCATTGGTTGCCTGAATGTGGAGTCATGGGAGTGAGTTCAGTTCCAGGCCTGAAGGATGTGTAAGAGCCATAGTCTCTGAGGTTCCAAAAATTTCTAATTCCTTTTCAATTCCCGACCTCTTCATATTGGAGTTTGATCTATTCTCCAAATGTGCTCATTTCTTTTGTAGTTTCATTCAGTCCCATAGTTATATCTGATCTCTGTGCTGATGAAGCCCACATGTAAATCTCCACCCTGGGCCTCTCCCATTAACTCCAGAAGCACATAGGTGAATGCATATTTGGCACATTTCCTTTACAATCTTATCCAAACTGTTTGCAAATCCATCTCAGTTTTGGTGACATCATAATTGTATCTCCATCTCAGGCATTTCCCATGAATAGGACTTATCTATCCCATTCAAACATAGAGGACATTTTGAATCACTGTTTGGATAGCTAGTTAGCATCTCAGTCATCAGGTTTACAAAATTAAATTCCCAATTTTCCTCAAGACCTCAGTGAAATCTGTTGATGGCAGTTTGATCTTTGCAACATCTCACACCAGAACCTGGAAGTAAAGCCTGAGACAATTTTTTCATCCTGACCTATCAGCAAGCTGATGGCACTACCTTCAAATATATCCAGATTCTGCCTATCTATTACTTAGATTATCGTAATGACCTTCTAACTGAATATTAGTGAAACATTGCACAATATAGTGTTGGAAGATGAACCCCTCAGGTCTGAAGGCACTCAAATTATGAATGAAGAAGAGCTCACTCCTCAGAGTAGAGCTGACATTAATGATGTGGATAGAGTAAAGCTTTTGAGACCCACATTTACTGATGTGGCACGTCTCAAGATGAGAAGCAACAGCTGCAAACATCCACTAGTAATTGGAACATGGAATGTACAAAGTATGAATCTAGGAAAATTGAAAGTTGTCAAAAGTGAGATAGAACCCATAAAGATTTATATCCTAAGCATTATTGAGCTGAAATGGACTGGTTTGGGCCCTTTTGAATAAGAAGATAATCTGATCTATTATGCCAGGAATGACAAATTGAAGAATGGTGTTGCATTCATCAGCACAAAGAATGTATCAAGATCTATCCTGAAGTACAATGCTGTCAGTGATAACATAATATCCATACACCTGTGAGGAAGACCGGTTAATATCACTATTATTCAAGCATTCAAACTTATGGACCAACCACCAAAGATGAAGAAATTGAAGATTTTTACCAACTTCTACAGTCTGAAATTGACTGAACATGCAATCAAGATGTATTAATTATCACTGCTCTTTGGAGTGCAAAAGTTGGAAACAAAGAAGAATCACCAGGAGTTTGGAAATATGGACTTGGTGATAGAAATGTAGCTGGAGAACACATGATAGAATTTTGCAAGTCCAAAGACTTATTCATTGAAAATACCTTTTTTTTCAACAATAGAAATGGCAGCTATATACATGGACTTCTCCAAAAACATTACACAGGAATAAGATTGACTACATCTCTGGCAAGAGGAAGCTCAATATCTTCAGTGAAAACAAGGCTGGATAACATACTACACAAAATATTGTTCCACCTCCTACTTTGACAAGTAGTGACTGGGATCTTAAAAGCTTACAAGCAGCCACCTAAATGCAATGATGGGTGTCTCCTCATCCAGAGCAAAGAAGAATGAAGAAAACCAAATATTCATGGAAACAATTAGTCCTAGAAGCTGGTACACCAAGCAATCTGCAGCCTATACAACTACGAGACCAAAAGAACTAGATGGTGCCTGGCTACCACTGTTGACCACTTGGAGGTGATCTGTGTAGGAGATCCTGGATAGAGAGGGAGAACAATGTGGAACAAAACTCAAAATCATTTGGAGGAAATAAAAGAAAAAAAAGAGGACCAGGTTTTCTGGTCTGATAGAGCCTGGTGGAATCACTGAGACTATGGCCCCTAGCTGCCCTTCAGGTCTGGAATTGAACCCACACCTGTGGCTTCCAGCCAAACAAAAGACAGGCATGTGAGCTGAACAT